CAATATTTTTTTGCCAATGTGTGAAAAATATGCTATAGCATAATATTTTGAGATTGAGATACATTTTGTGGGAAACTCCATGAACCCTGACTGTATGCAAAAGACTATGTTGCAAATCTAATACATATAGATATATCTGGGAGTTGCTTAAAAAACACCCACAAAATGTTCTGTGCATAAACAATTAATAAACCAGGAGCTTAGTTATTAAGTCTCACACATTTTAATTCTTGAATGGCAAGGGCTTTTTTCATGTTGGATATGCTTTGTCTGAAGAATAAATGAGGTGAGTCATGCAGGGAAGCTCTATGTGTCATTCTATTAAATCTCTGATATTTTTCCTCCTATTTCAACAGGCTCAACTCACAATGACATTCCTTGACAGTCAGACTTATTCATTTTTAAAGCCTTCATTTTCCTAATATTGTCATTTAAATAGCCACAGATTTCTGCCCTGGAATGTTAGGTGACATGATTTTATTACCAGTGTGCACTTTAGTTTAATTGACATGTTTTATCAGCCACATATGCTGGAGCCATCTGTTTATATTTTTCTTTTAGCACTAGAACTAAAAATATAGCCATAGTAAATCCTTGTTTCAGCTGAGTTTAAATACTATTTCCTCAATACAGAGTAACAAACAATTCCCATTAACCACCTGACTAGCAAGGTGACTCAGTCTCTGACAGGTCTTCGTTATAAACTAGATAATTTTTGGCCCACTATTTATTGCCTCTAAACATGTCACAGGCTTTTCATTTGCAATGCTGAATATTTTGTACATATCTCATGTTCTTAGTGCCAGTTTTATGTTTGGATCTTCTTTACCTTCTGCCCTACCAGAGTTTTCTATGCCCTGCATTTCTGTGCTTGATAAATGTGTAAGACTGGGCTGTAGCTTTCTGCAGAGACAGACTAGTCATCAACAATTTGGGACACTACAAACAGCATTTTTCTACTAATGTATATTTTGTGCACTTTTCAGAAGACATCTTTACTACACGCAGTTCTTAGTAGGTGTGTGCTGTGAAATTCCATGGTGTACAGCGGCAATGAATCTCTGAAACAGAGATGTGAATTGCTGTTTCATTGTCATTTTGCACAAATAGACCAAAAGGTAAATATTACATGATGCCTTCTACTGCACTGTATAGGTGTAGGATAAACCTAAGTTACCCTTCTTGCACAATAGGAGTGAGTGATTACTTGTACAAGTGTTATCTTAGGGAAGCAGAAATAGCTTTACCTTGCTGTTTCTTAGGAGAAACATTCCAGGAGGAGTCATTCCAGGATAGAGCAGGACCAGTGCTCCTCCTCTTCAGTCTCCTCTGCATATCCAGCGTCCAGCTAGTAAAGCTAAATTCTCATTTCTGCTTGTATTTCAGAAGAAGGTCTTCATAATTTCAAAAGGTATTCCTTCTTCATCTCCTTGATGGGTAGAATGCCATGATCATGAGAATTTTTTGTGGTAAAAATAGGTAAATAGGATAAAGGTCTTGATTCAACTTGTTCTTGTCTCATTTGGAGTCTTGGAGAAGAGGCTGACAGCAAGGTGTGAAAATGCTAACACTCTTGTCGTGGTTTTGCTTACAAAGAATGCATTACCTCCATGTAAACAAACAAATAATTAAATGTGAAAATGAAATGTTCAAGGGTCTCCATTCCACTTTCATACAAACAGGACTAGAAGGAACAAGGCTTGGGAGGTGTCACATAGACCTCCTCTGTACAGTAGACAACAGAACTGAGATATGCAAACATTGTCACCAGTCTCTTTTAACAAAAAGGAACTGCATACCACCATATGAATGCAAAGCTTGGCATGGAAAACTAACAGTATTTTATGAAATTTAGCTTAGTAATAATTGGTGTATATAACTGTAGTCTAAAATCTCTGTTAGTCTTTTTCAAAGCCTTCATTTAAAGTTCAGCTCCTAGTCTTGATTTTTTCATCTGACTTAAATGTTGAGGGTGTTAGTGAGCTGAGAGGGATAAAAAAGAACATGCTGTCCTGCAGAATCATATATTTTGAGTCTGATTTAATCTCTTATAATATTGTTAATAGATTATGTTTTCTAGGGAAGGTAGAAAATTTATAAAAGTAATAAAATCCTATTCCATTTTTAAAAGCTTCCAAAACTGATTCAAGATGAAGAATAGTATGAAAATGTGTAGATTTTCATTTTTGTTCTTTTTATATTTGTAACACATCCTATGTACTTCCACAGTACATGGTATAAATAAACATTTTCTTCACAAGGGTTGATTTTGATTTGGATAGTTACAGACAAATGTGCCAACATCTGTAGAAGTTTTTGTTGTTCTTTATGCATCAACTTGCATCCTGTGTATGCAATTCATATAATACCCTATATAGAATCAAGATTAATGACTATCTCCTTTCTGTATCAAGTCTTTGAGGACATTCTCCTTTTCAGCTACATTCATTATTTCCTGGAGTTGCATTTTTCTGTTTTACTGGAGGCAGATAGTCTTACCATGGTGGTAGGTGAAATGCATCTGGTTTTGCTCTGTTGAGCTTCATCAATCGTTTCATCTGAACCCTGTCAATCAAACAGCAATGTAGGGTGATTCACCAGTGAACTTTCCACCAAAATTAGCAAGTTTTCTAGAAGCTAGTCAAACAGAGATTTATTTTGGTAAGATTACTGAAATAAAGGGTATAATAAATGAAAGCTATTTTCCTGATAAGACATTATTATGCTCCTTCAAATATTGACAAGGGTGCTTACATGAAGCAAAATTACATGAAGCAAAATTACATGAAGCAAGTTTTAACCTTTGCTTTTTTTTCTGTTGAGGGGCAGCACTTAATGAAACTATGAAAAATTCTGCATTCCAAATATGTTAAATCAATATGACAGGCAACTGTATCTCAGTTTAATGTATCCTAACTTGAGGTAGTTTTGATGCTATTGTAAAAGCCTATGGCTTGAATCAGAAAGGGTTGTAGAACCAGACCAGTTTTTCAAATAAGTTAAAAACTACAGTATAAAATTTCCTTCTAACCCTTTTCTGTTTTGCATGCCTGTTTTTAGCACTCAGGTTAACTGTGTCAGCAGATAAAGATGAGGTCTGAGGTACTGATAGTGCAAAAATGTTGCCTCACACATAAATGCATGTGATTATGCCATGATTGTGGCAAAAATTCTAAAGTGATTTGTGGGGAGGGGAAAGAGGCAGGTTCCTTTGTAACTGACCCTGTGCATGATCCTTATCTATTTAAAACACAAATGCTCAAGCAATGAGAAATGTCCATTGGCTTTAACTGATTTGTAACATCTCTTCAAGAGTTCTTACTGATGGTGATGCCAGTATTTGAGTTTAGATTTTATTATATGTTGAAACACAACATTGTTTTGAAATAAATATAGCCACAGCTTGAATTGCATATTGTGTTCTAGCAGTGATGGCTCGAGAAACAAAGTTTGTAGGGAGAAATAAAATATTTTGTGACTTTTAATGGAAAAATAAAGACAAGATGTTGGGCATCCTGACCCTTCTTTAGGCCTTAAAATAGAAATACACATCTTCAGGCAATGTACAATTCCAGAATAATTGTTTAGACATTAACTTATTTAGGTTAATAAACTAAAGGGTTTAAGCGGGATGATTAGCACCACTGACAGGAGGGATGGGAAAGGGTCGTAATTCTTCATAAAGCCTATTCATTGCTCTGTGCTAAAAGAACGTACACAGTCAGTGAAGAGGAGCGTCACTCAGCCATCAAAGTGAAAACATTTTTCAGGAAAAAGCTTTTCCATCTCTGAGATCATACCCCTTGAGGGGGACCTGTGAAATACGTTCAAGTGACGAATTGGAAGATTAGAAGTCATAACTCTATTCACTACAGAAAATCATGGATTCTGAGAAAGCATTAATTTTAAGGCATATCACAGTTATTTCCACAAATCCCTTCCTGCTTCATCTTTTGCTGTTCCACATTTGCTTATTCTTTCTCTCTCCCTTTTGGTCCTATAAGCTTCTGTACACATTAAAAGCAGGTTAATAACATTATCACCTTTCCCCTTGCTAATGACCTTCTCTCTACAGGTACTGATTGCACTTTTCTTTCAAACCGAGTGGTTACACAATTAGGTTGAACTCAAACCAGTTTTTCCCAACTAAGGTGGAAGTTGTTTAGCTTTGAAGGTTGTTACTGACAGATCTAGTGCTGCTAGAAAGCCTGCCTGCTGTATTTTTGGGCTCTATACCAATTGCCTAATGAAGTCTATTATGTCTCCATACAAACCTTATTTGACATATGTTTGGGTTTGCTTTTATTTTTATTTTTTTTAATTTCATTTGCTAAAGAGATTAAATGAAATTCATAAAACTTGCAAACATTTCCCAGTGAACTAAATCTGTATTCTCTGGTAAATATAATGTTAAAAAACCCTGAAATAACTCAGCCCTGCTTATGAATTCAGAAGCCTGCCACATTGATCTTTCTCAATTTTTCCCTAACAGATCATACACTTTTGATTATAACAAAGTTTGAGGAATTTTTTAGTTACTGACACATGATCTACAACCATCTTGATTGTGAAGGTCTGGACATCGCTTACAGCTGTCTCCATCAAGAAGAGGGGATACAGCTCTGTTCCTTAGGTTTCAAGAAATGAAAAGGGAAATCATTTATAGTCAGTTGGCTGTTGAACTAGAAGGTGCTAAAGGGAGGTACCCATAACCTTAAGAGCACTGCAGGTTTTTCAGCAGTACCTGTGTCAGGCTTGGCCTAATGTTGCTGATACCTTCTCTTTGGCTTGTGGGACTAGCAGGGTCAGTGGGGAAAAGTGAACGTAGATCAAGAAAATTATGCAAAGATACTAAAACCAACCAACCAACCAAATGAATATGCAAGTTATTCTTCGGACTTGCTAGTGGTTTAAGTTTACTCAAATGAATTCTTTTGATATTATGCTGATGGTTGGATCATGTGTCCTGAATATTTTTCTCTTTTCTTCTGAAATCACAGATCCCTGTGCTTCTCAACCTGACTAAAGATCCTGATGTAAACTTGCCTATGAAACCATTAATCTTCTCATTGGCCATGGGCGCATGCCTTGGAGGTAAGAGTTGATGTGAGAAAGCTGACATAAGGTAATAGCTAAGCAATTATGGCATGTGTAAACTGGCACAATAGGTTCAATGATTTTATTACGCAAAGCATAAGGAGGGCCTGGTCCAGCTCCTTTTGACTTCAAAGGACTCCTGGATAAGGACCCCAGTCACTGTCTGCTGCTACAATAGGATTTTTGCAGTCTATGTTTGCTGATAATATCTCCATAAAGTACAGATGCCCAAAGCAGCAGTCCAGGTGGTGCATATAGGGTTCTGATCTTTTGTGAGAGAAAATTCAAAGATACATTTAGCTTTCAGAACAGAGACCCATCATTTCTCATTGAAAAGAGGCAGAAAATGTATAATAGCTGAGATCTGAAGGCTTGATTCTATCTACTGAACTCACTTGAAGGTTTTAGGGCTGGCCTAGAGAAATGGTTTCAGTATCCATTTGCTGACCTATTTAGCACTCCTCGCTCTAAGGAAAACCTTTTTGAAGTCTTAATCTTTGGGAAATGTACCTCTAATAAAGAAAGCTAATAATTCTCCTAGTACCCATCTTGGTGTTAACTGAGAATTCTTGTCTTGTCAGTATATTAGCATAAAACAAGCAGATGGTTTCATTACTTTGGTTTGGGTGTTTTTTTTTTTTATTTTTATTTTACAATGTACCCTGTACATGCTGCAGGGCCAGGATTTCCTCTCTGTTTGTTATAGCAATAAAGGAGAATAGCCATGTGGTAGTTTTTAAATTAATGTTTATACTTGATTACTTTTTTTAAATTTTATTTTCTGGAAATGGCTTATGAAGGTGTTACAACACAGTATTTCCACATATCAAGTGTACTAAGTGCAATTAAAATTTGTAACTTTTTAATGAAAAATAAAGTTAGTATTATATTTTTATTAGAGAGAATTTTAATGCTAATTACATTGTATTGGGCTGGTTTTTGATCTCTAAATATTTGGGTAGCTAGGTTAAATAAAGGTAAAATGAATAAATTGGTGTACTTCCATGGATCCATCTTGTCTATCCTCCATGCTGCTCCAAATATTTTCCTTGACCTTACAGAGATTAAAACTAAAACCAGTTTTTTTGTGTAATACAAGTTCTAGTTTAGTTATTTAGGTAAGTGATTCCTAGTGCAAGTGACCTTAACAGCTAACAAAGATTATAATGCTGTAATTTACAGATTGAATTTTAAGAGCATGTCACAAAGGCAGGACAATTTATACCAATGACAGTTATTGATTTGAGGAATACATTTTTTACTCATCTTTGTATCATGACTTTAATCTGTTCTTCTTTAAAACCACTGATTTGAATAATCAGCATACCTCTACATAGATGTTTGCCATAAAAATATCTTTCTTTACAGTTTGCTGATCATTGAATATACTCTGGTTTCATAAAAATTTCAGCTTAAAAAAAGAAAAGAAGTTATAAATAATATAAAGTTGGCCAGATTACACTGATGTTCTGAGTGGGAGGCACTTCACCTGCCTTGGAAACTTTACAAGTCACAGCTGATTTTTCTAAAATATCAGTTATCATCTTAGCCCAAATTCCTTTAATTTGATTTGTTGAAGGGCTGCTGGGATTTTAACAGGGATTTTAATATGTATGTGTATGTAGTATGAGACAAAAGTGAAAACATAAATATTACTGTTGTGGTTAAACCCCAGCTGGCAACTAAGCACCACCCAGCCACTCCCTCACTAATACCAGTGGGATAGGGGAGAGAATGAGAAAAATAAAAGTGAGAAAACTCATGGGTTGAGATAAAAATAGTTTAATGGTAAAACAAAAGCTGTACATGCAAACAAAGAAAAACATGGAATTCATTCACTACTTCCCATGGTCAGGCAAGTATACAGCCATCCCCAGAAAAGCAGGGCTCCATCACCTAACAGCTACTTGGGAAGACAAATGCCATCACTCTGAACCTCTTCCCCTTCCTTTCTCCTTCTCCCCACTTTATATGCCGAACATGATGTCATGTGGTATGGGATATCCCTTTGGTCAGTTGGGGTCAGCTGTCCCAGCTGTGTCCCCTCCCAACTTCTCATGCACACCCAGCCCACTCGCTGGTGGGGTGGTGTGAGAGGTAGAAAAGGCCTTGAATCTGTGTAAGCACTGCTCGCCTTGACTCTGTGTAAGCACTGCTCCGCAGGAACTGAAACATCCCTGTGTTACCAACACTGTTTCCAGCACAAATCCGAAACACTGTCCCGTACTACTTATCATGAGAAAAATTAACTCTATCCCAGACCACACCATCACAAGTACCAGGGGTATTATTTGAATTAGAGATCCATAGGAAGCTCCCAGGCATTTGGTAAGCACCATACAAATTTTTGGATAAAAGTTTAGATTATTATCTTTATTAGGAAAAGTTTAAACTCTCCAGACTGCTCTGTTAGGATAAAGTTGTGCATATGTTGAGTTACATTGGCAAATGTCTCATAGGAATGTTTGCCTGAAAATTAATATGGTTCTGATTTTCCCATGTCAAAACATAAAGCCTAGTGGACAGCAGCTTATTGTTAAGGAATGAAAGGTGTGAAAACGCTTTTCCTTTAAAAGATCTTGTAGCCACCAGAAATGCGAGAAGAGGAAAGTGTTCAGTTCGAGAAGATGGCGTTTAAAAATTATTTCCAAAAGAGAAGTCTTAACAGCACTGAAGTGATGTGAAGGAATCCTCAGGGTAGGCTAATCCCATTTTGGAAGGGGTAGGTACAATTATATCGTTACTGCCTGGTGCTTAAGGCAAAAGAGTGGATTTTATCACTGCTTATGCTACCAAAGGCACTTGGCAAACGCGGCATTTTATAGAACTGTCTGAGAAAATAATACATTATAACTACATATTTTTTAGGGTTAGTTGTTTACTTCCAAATGCAGAGCTTCAATTTTGGTAACTTAATAACATTTCTCAATTCTGTGGTTCAGGGTTATGTGCGTATGGTTATATGTCCATGAAGGGAGTGTCAGTATTTGTGCCTGTCTTGGAAAATGCCGTGCAACATTTTGTCCTGGAAAATTTCCAGTGGATGAAATTTCTTTTGTCTACTGTCACAAAGTGCACAGGTGGCTACAGGTTTGAAGATGATAGGATGAGAAAAGAAAGTAATTTTCCTTCATTGCTTTACCTGTTGTCCTGGAAATGAAAGAAGGATTGAGTCAGTCTCGCGCAACATGAAGAGAGCTTTGCCAGTATAACTGCCACACTGGTGTCATCTTCAGCACGTCTCCTAAAAGAGAACTGCTGCTATTAGATTTATGTCTTTCATGGCACTGGGCTCAGGCATAAGGAGTAACTGAGTATCACATAGATGCTCCTTGCTCTGTAAAATGTGTATCTGAAGGTGAGAAGGGATAAAAAATCCTGTTGCTTAATCAAGGAAGCTAAGGTCAGTTATGGGAATGGACAGTTCCTGGTGAGATGGTCACAATTTTAAAATCTTTGGATCTTTCTCAGAGTTTGCCAGTTCTTTTCTGCAAGTTTTCTGCTCAGATCAGGTCAAACTTACACAGTTAAGAAATAAGCATGGTATTTTTTCAGGGGATCTGGTTCTGGAAATTTAGGTTTATATATTTGCCCCAGCTATTTTTAAGAACTTATATCTAAGTTAGGAGTCCAGCTGCCCTAGGCTCCCTGTTTGGTGATGGGGATGCCAGCATGTCTGGCAGGCAGATGTTTGTTCATCCACTGAAATTGCCAGGCATTCTTTGCAGAGCACACTGAACCCTTCATGCACAGAACTTCAGTAGCTGAGAGGGGGGTCCCAAAGACAGGTCAAATGAATTCTGGTCTTTGGGCCTGCTTGTTTGTCAATTCTTCTGAATGCTGAACCACCCAATTAGTTCACACGTGTTTGGGCATTAATAGTCTGGTTGACTAATTAGCTAGACAAATTGTATTGATCTTTTTTTTTTTTTAAATATGTATTATTTGCCAGTATTTAAATTATGTTTTGACAATGAGGAGAAAGAAAACAGGAAATTTAAAAGGAGCTGAAGAAAACAAAAAGGAAGTATCTTCACTTGTTTTCTGTGATGTTCTGATGAATCTGCATACGTATTTCTTTTGCACGATTAAAACTTTATTCACGATTTATTCATTAATGCTTCCTATTCTAGTACATGATGGAATTGTGGTATCTCTTGAAACTGAGTTGTATGTAGACCTTCCAGTAGTCTCTAGGCTATGTTGCCCTGAAATTTTGGAGGACAAATGAGGATTGCTGGCTACAACAATTTCAGAATAAGAGGAGCTTTAATTGAAGTGCTTCTATGGGCTGTGAGTTTTAAAATAACATGAAATATGCATTGAACTCGATTTGAGTAAGTGCACAGTCTGAAATCTACCTGTTACAATTGTTCAATTGTGTAGAACTTGATTCTTTACTGAACTGAAGAGTTTATAGTTAAGATATTATTTGAAGGGGTTTTGTATATTTGACATTTAAAGAGCTGACATTTACTTGTCTTTTTATCTTTCTTCTTTCATGACTTCTAAAAAGTATGTTTTTGAAAAAAGAAGGAAAAAAAAAAAAAGAGGAAAAAAGAGATTGAGTTTATATTTGAAAGTCCTGACCTTCTGAGTTCTCAGTTGGTAGTGCAGAGAAGTACAAAAAATATCTCTCTGATTCGGTGACTATTGCTGTGGTCTGAAGAGGATATTTTCTATGGTGTATAGATTCATGCTATTTTTCTTCTCTTATATTTTCCTGGAGCACTACACTTGAAAGTCATCATTGTCACAGTTCTGCACAGAGAGGCAATCTCTAGGATGCATATAGCTGTGTTATTCTGACCACAAAATCTCGCTTGTAGGTTCTACTTCAAGAAAGGAGGTAGGAGGAGAGGGCTGGTGGCACTTTTCTTTTAACCTTACAGGGTCAAAACCCAGGTGTAAATCCATTATACACAGGACATGGTGCTAATTGCAGCTATTAAATGAGTACAACTCACAGTGTAGCTAAACAGTGGGATTTCTCTCCG